GTACATGCTTGTATCCCCAGACGTGTGATGTGAGGACGTGTAGTGCAGATCATACAGTGTGCAGCATGAGGGTAATTGATCCACACATAACGAGGCGGAGGTTCAAACAAAGGTTACTAATCTGCTAAATATGCTGATTACTGATCTGGGGCCTCATTTATAACGCCTTGCGTAGGATTCACGTGAGAAGGTTGCTTACGTAGTACAAAGCAAAAAAATAGGTACAGAAATGTTCCGACATTTTCCGATTCACAAAACATTGCGTACCGGCGAGGGAAGTGCGTACGGCACTCCCTACGCCCGTTTCCCTTTATAAATCACAATCGACTCGAAATGTGGCGCAGCTTTTGCAGGGCTTCACGTAACGCCCATATGTGCCTATAAATAGTCAAAGAAACGCCCATCCATCCATCCATCCATCCATTCATTCATTGTGACTGACTGCATGAAGAAGATCACAGGAAATGAGGACAGAACAGCTAAAAAAGACATCTCACACCGTGTCAGATTTAGGTTATTTTGTGGAGGTGGAGATAAATCATATTGTTTGGTGGATGCAGTTTGAACCAGAGTAGCAGCATGGAGGTCGGATCGTCACCAACATAAATAAATAAGTGGTCCGAAAAAAGTTAATGACAAAATAAATACACATAGCCTTCCTCAGGCAGTGTGTTTGTCCCGGGGACAGGAGACCCCCCCCCTTGATGAGAAACTGTAAGAAATGATGGGGGAATCCCTCCGGAGTGTAGTCATGACGACTGGATCTGAATTATTGTGTTGTATTTGGTGGTTTGTGTTCCAGCTGTCGATCAGCAACTATAGATCCATAATCCACCAGTTAAAGGAAATACAATGTGTTGTGTTATATTAGCTGTTTACCACATATGGTGTTCTTAGTTTCCATACCTCCTGGGTTTTACGAGCGACTTATCAAGTCTTGGCAAACGGCATAAAACACGATTAAACGTGATAGGATATAAAACCATGCTCGTATCTACAACCTATAGAAATGCTAAACGGCGTCAGTTTAGACGTAATTCTGTCCTCCTGCTTACCGCATCATTTATGAGAAAACATTTCATAACATGAACACAACATATTCGAGGTGGTTTTAAATAACATATCCGTATTTATTTATTTCTCCAAGTGATGTGTTTGTGTGCACTGAGGAGTCTCAAACAGGCGTTTGTTTCATCATTTTAAGATTGGCTTTAATCAATGTTTGAAAATGAATTCTTCATATTTGATAAATGAGAGGTAACATTTTATTGATGGTATTATTTCCACATATTTCTCTCCATTCTTCCTTCTGCCAACGGCAGGGCCGGCCCTCGGCATAGGCAGTATAGGCGAATGCTAAGGGCGCATCAAACCATCGGGGCACCGGAAATTGAAAAAAAGAAGAAAAGTTAGAAATTAAAAAAATGTTTTGTTTGAAATTTCACAACAACACAATTTCCCGATTTTGGATCAACAAAGTACATCTTATTATCTTATACTAACAGAACTACGCCTATATTGCGTACAGCGCCCATAAACTATGGCGCACCCTGTTAGCAGAGTAAGCATAACTTCATTGCTGTTTAGCATCCAAATAAGCGGAGGAGTAACGAAACATCAGAGGCAGTGGCATTTCATTCAACGGGCCCTCCCATTGGAGGCGTGGCTTTATTTATACCCATCATTGACCTTTAACCTGTTACGCTATTGGCTTCCAGTCATGCACAACAAATAACACAAATTGGTAACATATTTACCTGAATGTTAACACCCCCACTTGATAACACATTTGTGGTCTTTTAACAAATAAAAACATTATAAGGTTCTCTACCTTACAGAAATTGTTACTCACCAAACATAAACTTTGCAAACTTAATCAACTTAAACTTTGGTGCAGGTTTTGTCATAACATCTGCCACCATCTGGTCTGTTGGACAATAAATCAGATTTGTTTTTCCCCCTTCCACAGTTGACCTCAGAAAATGATACTTAATGTCAATATGCTTGCATCTCTGTCTGTTAACAGGATTCTTTGCCAACGCTATTGTGCCCTGGTTGTCTTCGTAAATCGTAGGTAGTGTATATTCACATTTGTCAATGCCCTCTAGTAGTTGTATTAGGTACATACACTCCTGCATAGTAGCTGCTAAAGCCATATACTCGGCTTCACAAGTTGATAAAGCAACAGTTGGCTGCTTTTTGGTTTTCCAAGAAACCAGTGGCCCGCTCTCATTAAGGCTAACACAATAACCTGACATACTACGTCTGTCGGTTAGATCAGCAGCCCAATCTGCATCGCTGTATGCTTGTAAGCCCAGTTTTTCACTCTTACATTTCCGGTAACACAGCTTCCTGTCGATTGTACCTTTCAAATATCTCAGTACATGTGTGACAGTAATCCATTGCTCTTCTGTCGGCTCAGAAAAATACTGGGACAGTTTACTGACAACAAAACTCAAATCAGGCCTCGTGCACACAGCTAGGTAGATCAGGCTACCTACTGCCTCTCTGTACATTCTAACATCCTTCATCGGTACAGCATCATCCAAGTAGTTCAGTTTTTGCTCACAAGGTGTCGCTCTCGGTTTACAATCCTGCATGTTAAACCTTTCAAGTATTTTGTTCACATATTTCTTCTGTGACATCTTTACACATGAATCAGTTTGATCAAAATCAATGCCAAGGAAATGTTTTAGTTTCCCCAAGTCCTTCATCCTGAATTTAGCTGTGAGCATCTCTTTAACAACTTTCAATGCATTGTTATCACTAGCTGCAATGATTATATCATCAACCCATATTATCATTATCACTTTCCAGTTTTCAGTTTCTTTTGTGTAAACACAATGGTCAGCAGGGTTCTGTAGGAACTCATTTTCACTCAGATACTCATGTAGCATTTTGTTCCAATTTCTGCCTGACTGTTTAAGCCCATATAATGACTTTTCTAGCTTGTACACCAACTTTTCACCTTTACTAGATTTGACCTCAAAACCCTCTGGCTGGTCCATGTATATCTCACAGTCTATTGGTGCATGTAGGTAAGCAGTTTTAACATCCATTTGGTGTAAAATCAGATTTTCCTGTGCTGCTTTTTGCATTAACACTCTGATACTGGTGAGGTTAGCGGTAGGTGAAAATGTCTCATCATAGTTTTCACCCCTCTTCTGACTGTATCCCTTGGCTACATATCGTGCCTTGCAGGGTTCGAGTTATAAACTGAGCTCTATGGGGGTCTTTGAAACTAGCACGCACGCACGCACGCACGCACGCACACGCACACACACACACACACACACAATAAAAAAAAAAATCGCTAGGCCATCGGGAAACCTCCCGGCCCTCCCGATGGCCAGTCCGGGCCTGCCAGCAGCCCTCCACTTGCTACAAACTTAAATATGAAAACATAGCCGTGGGAACATGTTTCAAATGGGGGGTGCTGTGGGGATGACACCAGGGCCGGTTCTGACCCGTTTGCTGCCCTAGGCAAGATTTTTGCTGGTTCAATTATATCTTATTTTATCAGTTAACATTTATTTATTCATCCATATTTTTTAATCTCTCCAGTTTTAAAGGATATTGTTGGTTTACTGTCCTATAGTATACATGTGCCAAGAGCAAGGACTGTCTTAGGTAAGACAGCTTTTATGCTTGCTTGGAACAATCTTCAGCAAGAATTGAAACTGAGCAATCTCATTCCTCTGCATGTTTTTAAAGCTAGGCTAAATGAAATGCTTGTTGATACTATGGGCACTTGTAAATGTCTATAACTATGTAAATGTATCTTGTAAATATAATGTATGATGTCCTTTATTGTTTTATGTTTCATGTGGAACCTCCAAAGTAACTTCCTGAAATGTAATTGTCTGCGGTGATTCTACGGAGTCCCCAAAGGCCCAAAATTGTGCACACAAAACATATTTTCGGCTGCCCGGGCCTAAGGAAGTAGCTCTACTTATGAAATCTCTGTTAGTTTAAACTCCCACTTCACTACTTTACATTCAAAACAAATAGCTTATAAAATGTGGCACGGCATTATTGATAAAGCTACATATTAGTCTATAAAATAGTTACATCATACTTATCTTAACCAGCAACACCAATAAAATACTGCTACACATAAATGCATTGCAAATAATCATCAGTTTTTATTCAATGCATATAGAGGCAACTGAACCACACATCAACATTTCATCCATGCATTTCTTCACTTGTCAGTTGTTGTTCAAGCTCTCAAACAAACAAGCGGGCAGTACATCACATCGGCTCTTTTTCTGCTACTTTGACAACATGGTTGCAACCGGTTTCCGTGCTGTTGATGCCAATTTTCATTTTTTTCTATAGTGAGTTGATGATTTCATAAACTAAGAGTGAGGTACATTTTCGCCTCGCAAATTTTCCATCCAAATGAAGCAACATTTCTAAATCATTTTCAGACAAATTTGACTACACATGTTAGTGTTGTTCAATCTTATTGTCTTATATTTGTGTACAGCACTTTGAATTGCTTTGTGTTGAAAGGTGCTCTATAAATAAACTTGATGACTCACAATCTACTAGGATTAATAAATGTCCAAAGTGTCTATTACGTCAGTAGGAAATCCAACCTAGAGCAACTGAGCATTGGAATAAAACATGTTGTTTCATAAGGCCCAATGAGAACAAACACATCTAAACGGGAAAGTGTAAAAACATGTTGAATCATGAAACATCTGCTAGAACAAGACACACCAAGTTTTTGTTTTTCTAAAAACAAAACAATGAGGTAGATACTAGCTGTCATTTTTTTTAAGGAGGGGCAGCTTGGGCGTATTGTTGTACATAGCCGTGGGAACATGTTTCAAATGGGGGGTGCTGTGGGGATGACACCAGGGCCGGTTCTGACCCATTTGCTGCCCTAGGCAAGATTTTTGCTGGTTCATTTATATCTTATTTTACCAGTTAACATTTATTTATTTATCCATATTTTTTAATCTCTCCAGTTTTAAAGGATATTGTTGGTTTACTGTCCTTTAGTATACATTGGAATGATTTCAAACCTGTTTTTATTTATCCTAATAATTATAAAGGTGTGCCTTGTGATCAAACCGTTTGAGACCCACTGAGATAACTTAGACTAAAGTGAACTATCTAAACACTCAGAGTCCTTTACCTCACTGAGCCTCTCAGGGCACATGGAAAATGTAACCGGGGTGAAAAGGGTGTTACCTTTACTTAATTATGAATGTGAACATCAAGGCCGAAAATTCGTTTTTTTTGTATTATATTTGTATTATATTTCCATTTAATCTTGTGGACGTGCAGATTCCCTGTCCTCCATCAGGGGGTGCTGCAGCACCCTCAGCACCCCTACTTACCACGGCCCTGTATGAAAAGGTTCAACTGCGCACACACACATCATCTCGGCTCGCGCTGCACGCTCACAGGCATAGATTGTGCAATAAAGTATTGCGCACCTTGGAGGTGCAGCGCAGGCATATTGTTATTCAAGAGATGCGTTGTTCTTTTGGAAAACATGTTTTTCTTTTCAATAATACTCATTACATTGACACATGCATTATTTGTGATTAAAATAATGGTTGTTGGTAATGTATTAGCGACCCCCACAGATGTATGATTTCACTGCGTCCGTGGGAGCTCAGACCCCTCCTTATGGGAGCTCAGCTCCCATTGGCTCCCACATAACTCGAACCCTGGTGCCTTGTATCTTTCGGATCCATCAACATTGGTTTTGATATCGTACACCCATTTACCCCCCACTGCTTTCTCATCTTGAGGTAAGTTGGTCAGGATAAATGTGTCATTCTCTTTTAGTGATTGCATTTCTTCATCCATTGCAATAACCCATTGTTTTGACTCAGATGAAGTTACAGCCTCCCTAAATGTTAAAGGGATATTGCACATTAATCTGTAACAATAGCCAATATTTGTCAGTAGCTGGTCCTCACTTTCCTTACCACATACACTGTCACATAAGTAAGCTGGCTTCTTCCTCACTCTTGAAGGATAACGCCTAAGCTCACTCTTGTCTTTTGTCTCTGTTACAACAGGTATAGATACTGGCCTTACGTTAGTATCACGTTTGTTTTTGCCAGATTTGTTCTGTACCTCAAAATCATCATCAGAGACGGTTTCTGTTTGTGTTTCTCTTTCTGAATTGGTCTTGGTCACAAACTTCACAAGTCTAGATTTTTGCACTTTTCCACTGTGAGGGAAATAGACCATGTAGGCTGGACTATTTTTGTCATATCCAACAAAAATTCCCTCTTCACACCTTGAGTCCAGTTTCTTTTTGTCTTGCTTATAAGCATAGCACACTGACCCAAACTTGTGCATTCTGGAAAGGTTAGGCCGTCTACCTGTCAGCATAAAGTAAGGTGTCTGTTTTGTGCGGTTGTTAAAGCATCTATTCCTTACTACAGCTGCTGTCTGTACTGCATAGGTCCACATACTTTTTGGCATCTCATTTTCTATAAGCATGCACCTGGCCATGTCAAAAAGTGTGCGCCAATTCCTTTCAGCAGTGCCATTTTGATGTGGGGAATACGGTGCTGACTTTTCATGTCTAATCCTATTACTGCATAGTAATGCTTGGTAATGTTTCCCTGTGAACTCTGTGCCATTGTCTGACCTGATACATTTTACTTTCCCGTATGGGGCAGTATCGGCCAGAAATCTCTCTGTTGCTTGCACTGTGTCACTTTTGTTTTTAAGGAAATACACAAACACTGCACTGGAGTAATCATCTGTGAATGATAAAGCATACTTAAAGCCTTCTCTGGATTGCGGATCTATTGGTCCTGCTATATCTGTGTGCACCAACTCTAGAGCTGCTTTGGCTCTTACATCAGGCTCCCTGTTCCTGGTTTGGGTAAACTTCCCTTTAGTGCATACATCACAATGTGGAGGTTTGTTTACCTTACCCTTAACTGACATGCCATTAACAACATTCTGTAACTTCTGAATATCATCATAATTACAGTGTCCCAGGATCTCATGCCATGTCTGTAAATCATAACACCTGTTGCATTGGTCATCACATTCATCATTTACTGTGTTCAAGAAATAAAGTCTGTTCAATTCATAAATGTGAAATGTTGTACCGTCTTTGTGTTGCAGGACGTCTTTGCCCTGCTTGAAGGTTACCGTTGCTCCTTTGGTTGTAGCTTCTTTCACAGAAAAAATGTCTTGGGGGTACGATGGGATGTACAACGCCTTCTTCAGAGTTGTTTTGTGTCTTTTCCCCATGCTGTCCACCATAATAATAACAGCGTCCCCTCCTCCTTCTGCTACACCATTGCACCTGGTACCATCAGCTAATTCCACACAGTGGGACTCAGCCTGGAAGTCATCATCAAACCTCTTGAACTTTTTTACATCCGTCACGATATGTGAAGTCGCCCCGGTGTCCACCATCAGTCCTCTCTCGGTGATGCTGCGTCCTGGCTGGACCTTGTTGTCCACGTCGTTGACTCGGAAAGCATACTCCTCGCCAGTCGTTTCATCCGAAGCTTTCCGCGCGTCGTCCTCCCGTCGCTGCTTCCGCCTGCAGGCTGCATCCCGATGCGTGTTGCTCTTACAATGACTGCACCACAGCTTACGTTGGCACGTTCCGGCCTTGTGTCCACTCAGGCCGCATCTATAACAAACAATGTCTGCACACTTGGTTCCTTTATCCCATGCTCTTGGTACAGAGGGTCGTCTCGCTCTCAACTGTTCCCGCGCCCTCATGACGTTGTCCTCTGGTGGCGGGGTGCGCATTCGCTCAGTATCCTCATAGCTGCGGAGCTTAGTCTTAAATTCAGCAAAACTTATTATCCTGTCAATTTGCGTGATGTGTATGGCGAATGGTTTAAATGATTCTGGCAGTCCCTTCAAAACCATTGCTACAAGAAGCCCATCACTTAATTTCTCCTCCGCGTTTCTCAAAGCGGTGATGGCGGTCTCTGCACGTATTATATACTCCGTCACACTTTCACTGCTTGACTTTAGGAGTGATGTCAGTTCAGTATATAGGCTGATAATACGTGGTTTACCTGTGCCTGCATAATAGTCTCTTAAAATCTTCAATGCCTGCCGACCATTATCCGCCGCCTCCCTCATTACAAGGGACAAACTTTTGTCATCAAGAAATTGGATAAGCTCTGCATAAGCCTCTTCATTTTTCCTTTCATCGTCCGCCTCTTCATCTT